AATATCACACAAAACTGCTAATGTTTAAGTTGGTTGGGCCACATTCATAGCTGCATGTGACCCCATGTGCCTGTGGGTTGCTGGTTGGACATGCCTACTAGGGCAAGAGAAAGATCCAAAAGATAAAGCCAATGTAATTGTCCACGTCCATGTGCTCCCAATTCTTCTGAAAAGCTGGGTTCACACTGACCATCACCCAGAGCAGAGGGTTCATCTTCTTACACACACAGATACCTTCCATTCAGGCCATAGACCTCAGGGTGTCTCTCTCTGGGCACATGTCTTACTCATACCCGTGGGAAAAGCTCCCATCAATGCCATTGAAGAACACAGAAGAGTTCTCTCAGGAGCTCCTACCTGGTATGTAAGGAGAATCTAGCTCAAAGCTGAATACCTGTTGAGCACAGCTGTGTAGGGCAAAATACCAGAGAGCTACAGGCCAGGATAGGGTAAATGAAACAGTGACCTAAAGCATAGATTCTGCAGTGACGACCCTGATTGCAACATGATTTCATCTTGAGTTATGTAACCACTTGTGCGTTGGATGTAAAATATTCTCTATAGCCTTAGTGTTAGGATACATGGTTTCCCGTTGATGGTCCTCCTTTGAAGACTGTAAAACCTTTAAGAGATGAGGCTGTAAGTGGAGGAAGTGGATCACTGGTGGCAGATCTGGAGGTTCTTACTTTGGCTTCCCATCCCATCTGATTTGTTCTGTCACATTGAGAGGTGAGGAGGGGGAGGGCAGCTACACGTTCTCGATACTGTGGAGTCACTTGCTGCCGAGCCTTCTCTCTAGGTGGACTGTACCCTTTAAAACTGTGAGTCAAGACACCCCCTACACAACTACCACCTCAAGTGGCTTCTTGTCACGCATCTGGTCACAGCAACAGGAAAAGTGACCAATATTCATCTCTAGGATTTCATTGCAAAGCTTTAGCCTTCAGATCATTGTGATTATTAAATGACAAAGTTCATGTAATGATCTGACCCCAGTCTCTGTCATATGGTCAGCGCTTGACAATCACAAGAAATGGTCATTTAGCTGCTTGATGACAAATGTAGGACGTCTAGGGAGTTTATACCAGGGAAGAAAACCAAAAAATAAAAAACTAAAAACACAGCAAAACAATATGCCCTCTGGGAAGACTCCATACCAACAAAGCACCTGGGTCCAACAGTCAAGTTTTCATGTGAGAATAACACAAACAAATAAACAAACAGGGTCTGGAGAGATGGTTCAGTGAGTCATGTTTACTGTAAGCAAGAGGACCTGAGCTCTGTCCCTAGAACCCACATGAAAAATCGAGTGTTGGGGTGATGCCTCCCTATTCCTTACAACTTTTCACCTGTGGCAGGTGGAAGAGCTGGTCTGGGGTCATGAGAGCAGGAGAGCTGGCCCTGCCCCTCACTGGCTGCAGCACTCAGGAAGTGGGCCGTGTACTTCCCTTGGGCAGTACGGTAGAGCTGCCCCTGTTAGGGTGGGGGTGCAGGTGAGCAGCTCCTTGCACAAGTGTCTGGAAGAGCTGACCTGCCTCCTGCACATTATGGCAGCATTGCCTGGCTTAGCTGGAACAGTGCTGGAGAGCTTGCCTTGGTGGTGCCAATAAGGGAGAAGTGGTGAGCTGACTAGCTCAGCTACCACCCAGGCCCAGATCCAGAGCTTTGAGCCGACCCAGCCCAAAATCTATATCATCTGCAAATGATAGGACGTGTGAAAGGGCCAGTCTTGCTGAACCCAAACTGCAGGATCTTAGTGACACAGGGCAACAATAGAATAACTGGGGGAAGACCCAGTGGGGATTCAATACTGACGATGCCAAAGAAGCCAGAGATCTCAACCAGACCAATGACACAGTGCAGTGCACATCTGCAAGTGAAGATGTGTGGACAGAGGAATACACTGTGGGACACACTGGGACATACTATAGCTTCCACAGTGAGATGGTTTTCTATGCTTTGGGTTTTGTTGGTGATGTTGTTAGTGGTGTGTGCATGTGTGTGTGTGTGCGCGTGCGTGTGCGTGTGCATGTGTTTTATTTTGGAGGGGGAGGTTGCAAGAGCATAGAGCAGATATGAGGGGACATGCTGATGAGCAGGGCCGGGTGATATAAAACTCACAAAGAGTCAATAAAAAGTTTTTAAAAATCATGTGTCCTTGTGCATACTTGCAAAGCCAGCACTGGGTGGATGAAGACAGGCATATCTCTGGGGGTTTTTGGCCCACTAGTAGGCCCCTAGCCTACTTAACAAGTTCTGTCCAATGAGAGAACCCATCATCAGGGGTAAAAAATGGACAGCACCTGAAGAATGGCACTTGAGGTTCTTTTCTGACATCTACATACATGCACACACACACAGGCACATGCACCATGAGTATGTGTACCTCCGTCTGAACATCCACCTAAACATTACCACATATATACAAACATTAATTTAAAAAATGCATCAGGCCACATGTGCCCTCTATACCATATGAATCTTGTGAACGTTAAATGCTTATAAGTTTTTAGTGTGGATTTTCTAAGGCTGCATGGTCAGTGCCTTTAACCTGAAGCCAATGATAATGAGCCAGTAACCAAGTGGAGCCCAAGTAGTGGAGGCTGTGCTGCTCCAGGAAGTGAGGACCTAGCACATTCACACCAAGAAAAGCAGGGCAGCCAGTATTTAGCAAAAGGTGTAATCTACCCAGAAAGAGTAGGTCTAAAGTCCAAAGAGCAGAGTCATGGTGTTCCAGAAGCCTAAGAGACCTGGGAGCCAGATAAGAGCCACAGGAGGCCTGGCCTTGGGTTGAAGGCAAAGATAGCTCAGCACAGCTGCCAGAACCTGACTAAGACTGTCCATCTGCAGCCTGGGGGAGGGAGGGGTAACTGGAGCTCACGTCTGCACCTTTCACTTCTATTCTTCACATGTACACTCACCTACGCCCTGTTCACAGGTCTCCATCCACCACACGCAGAACAGAAGACAGCAGGCAGACTTTACACTGCTCACGTGATGGGCACCCTTTACACCCAGTGTCTAAACTCACACACATACTTTATGTCCTTATTGCTGCTCACAGAAGTCTCAGAGCCCACATCTGAGGATCAGAGTTCCAGGGCCTGGTTCACGGTTACCGTTTCTGTGAACGTTCACATGCACGCTGGGATCTGAGAGGCCAGCTTGCATCCGAGCTTGGCAGTCACCTTCCGGTCTCACTCCACTCTCCTCTTGCTTTACACTTCCTTTCTTTTTAATTTCAAAAAGTAAAAAAAGTTACCTACAAAATAATAGCTTTCATTACAGTTATATATATATATATATATATATATATATATATATATATATATATATATATAGTGTATTTTGCTCATATTTACTCCTCACTGTCCTCCCTGTTAAATGTCATATGGTCAGTGCTTCATGATCATTAGACATGAGCCCTCAGTCACTTGATAAATAAAGAAATCTCAGATATCTCATAGCATGATGAAGGTAGGAAAACTGAAAAATAAGGACAGAATATGCACTTCATGGAAGAAAATGATACGGTGTTCCACATGTGACCAACCGTCTGCCTGGTAGCTTGCATTAGAAGTTACTCAATAAACAAATTATTGTAAATATAGAGGATTATCATTGGTGGTCTGAAAATAATGTCCTAGGGTCTTAACGGGGCTGCTAGGTTTCTCTGAAAAGTGACCTGAGGCCCTCCCAGATTTAAATGAGAAAATGTACACCATGGTGGGCTGTTAAAAGAGATGGGGGTAAGGACTCTGTTTGGGGAGTCTGGGAAGGGGTATCGTTTGGGATGTAAATAAATAAATAAATAAATAAATAAATATCTGAATTTATAGCCTTACTCGTGGCAGGCATTTCCCTGCCCAATCTCTTTGCAGCAGGAGGCCTATGATTGGACAGGAAAAAGAGAGGCAGAGCTAAGGGTGGCAGAAAGACAGGCAGAGAGATGCAGCGAGAGCGAGGGAGGCTAAACGCCTGGGGATATGGACCTGTGTGTCATTAAGTAAATGGTAGATATGAAATCTAACGGTTAGGATAATTGGGATAACCTTCTAAATTGTGTAGGTATCTTGTGTATTGTGATTCTATTGATATATATATCAATAAAATGTGTATGTATATGTATACACATTGGTTAACTTTAAGCATCAAGAGTTTTGATTTACTGGGTTACTGGAAGGTGGGTCCACTGACAACTGGGTGGTTATGGGTATGAAGGAACTGGGGGCTCCAGGGATGAGGATGGAGGCACAGCGACTGGTCACAATGAGGCTAGCTAGAGAGAGTAGCCCGGAGCACACGCAGTTGGGACCCGGTGGCCTGCTGGTATGGTGGTTAAGGAGGGAGCCAGCTGGATGAGCTCTTTTCAAATATCTCCCGCTACACTCACTCTCTAGTTGATCATCTTACAATGCAAAATCAGGGACCTCATGAGTGAGGGGCAGGCTGGAATTAGGGAGACCCACAATATCACCACCCTGCCCCCATACATTAGGGACCCTTTCATTTGCCTCCCAATTTCCCCAGAAGGAAGCTCTCCTTTATCTGGGTGAAGAAGGAATACTTGGAGATGTGGATGAAGTTCCCAGACAGAGACTTAAACAAAGGGTAAGAACCCTGTATGGGACAGAATATTCAGGACGCCATGGTCAATGATGTAGTTGCCCATCCAGAGGAGAGCAGCAGGCGCTGCTGGGCGTAGGTCTTGCCTGCAGCTGCAGGGTGTGTCCTGGGCAAGGATGCAGGAAGAGCATGGCTCCTGGTGTCAGAAGAGAATCAAGACGCAGGGCCTGGTGTTATTTACTTAGCATCAGGTTATAGAACATGCTAGAAAGTGAGGGATGGTCAAGGAAAGCCCCACTAAGAGGTCAATGAGTGGAAGGACAGAAGACTTGACCCCATTCTCAGTGTGAGTGAAGGCCTTTTTCAAAGAGCGTGTGTACCAAGTAGGCAGTGCCTCAAGCCTGAGGTGGCTGCGGTGGCTCCTGGGTACTCACCTCCTCCAGCCTTCGCCTCTGCTCCTTCTGCTCCTCGATGCGCTTCTGGCGCTCAGCCAGTAGCTGCCGCTTGTGTTCTTCATTCTCCCTCTGCTGCTGTTCCAGCTGCTGGCGCCGCAGGGCCTCTGAGCGCTCCTTGTTGGCCAGCTGCAGTCTCAGGAAGTCCCGCCGTAGTGTTGACTCTCCTGGTAGGTTCAGAATGGAGCTGTGGACAGGAAAGAAGATGAGGGTACCTCTTATGGACAGGGCCATTGTTGCTACTGTGGGTCCTGGAGAGATGTAAGAAGACAGTGCTCTACTCGCTTTTCAAGACAACCATTGCATACAGGTTGTCTCCATCCCTAATGGAATACCAAGCACTTCATAGGCTTAACCACCTGACCCCATCTCCAGTGCATGGCAAAAAAAATTGCTTCTTAAAACTTAAATGAGCTTGCAAGCTCCAAGCCCTAGGCAAGCTTATCTCCACATATAAGAGTAACAGCCAGTGGCTGGGGAGATTGCCCAATGGTTAGAGCACTTGCTATATAAGCATGAATCTGGGTTCAGACCTCCCCCAAAAGTTGGGTCCAATAGCAAATGTGCCTGTAATTCTGCATTTCTTTGGGAAGATGGGGGCAGAGACATTGGGAGGCCAGCGAGCCTACTATACACAGCCATCAACAATGAAAGACTCTGTTTCTAACAAGGTGGAAGGAAAGGGCCATCACCAGAGGTTGTTCTCTGACCTCTAGACACAGGCATCTTATGCACACATGGCTACACATGTAGTAACACAAGGCAAACACACATGCATACAAGTACATAGGCATGCACTCACAGAGCAGCAAAGGGGTCTTACTCTGTTCACGAGAGCAGAAGCCCTTCCATGCACCTCCTTGGCAGCTTACTCTAAGGCCCAACAGGCCAAGGTTATGCTGCTCAGGGAAGATGCAATGGACCAGGTGGGACAAGGATAAAGACAAGGTTGACAAAAGCCAAGATCTCAAGCCAAGTTTATGCAGTCCATGGTGCCCAGAACTTGTATGTGGTGTATGGAGACACACCCCACTGTTGAAGTGTGTGAGTCTAGGCACAAACCACACACTTGGGACTGCACCTGAGGTAACTTATTCCTAGATTATGTCTAACATAGCCTCTCTCTCTCTCTCTCTCTCTCTCTCTCTCTCTCTCTCTCTCTCTCTCTCTCTCTCTTTCTGTGTGTGTGAAGGACATAAACTGTCTGGTACCACTGGTGGTCCTGAGCTGTCAATTCAAAGCTAACTGCAGGTTACCAGCTGAAAATTATGATCTCTGGTTCTCCATTGCTATATATCAGGGAGATGGAAGATGGCTCTTATGTTTTTTTATTTTTTTAACATAGCCCCTTAAATTTTTGTGACAGCATCTACCTAAAATAAACTCACTGAACACATAATTCCTCATTTCTGCTATGGGGTAGGTGCTAGGTCAGGCTGTAGGGTGATATTGCTAGCTACTAGATACCAGTGAGAAATAGCAATGCGGTTTGGAGCTGTGGGGGTCTCCCCATTCTCATGGACCACTGGCTGACATAATCTATGAGGACAGTGGAAGCAAAGACTATGAGTGAGGGATGTGGAAGCCTGTGAGTGTGTACAGTGAATGACCACACTGGGACCCGCTACCAGGAGGCAGGTCAGCTTTGCTTAGGGTCACTGAAGGCTTATAAAAATTTAAGGGGCTGAGGATAGGGACATATAGGATGGGCAAAGTCATTTCCTGGAAGCTTAGGGCACCCAGAATGCCTCATTAGCATGGGGAAGCATCTCAGGAATCTCAGGTGATGGCTAAACACATTCTTATTGGGAGAAAGGAAATTGATCCTGTAATCTAATTGAGGATTTGTGACATTCCTCAGGTAGAGGCACATGTGGTGGGGTTAGAATTCCCCAGACAAGGTCAGAGATGGAGAAGCCCCACTAATGGAGTCTCCTATTACCTGCAGAGCCCCAGAAGGCTATCTGGTTAATGGTAGACTTTGGGCTTAATTAGCAGAGTCTTCCGCTGGAGCTGGGAGGAGGGTGTGCTGAAAGGCACCCTAAGTCCTGTTCCTGTTTGTTCAACCTGATGGACTACTGTGGAACCCAGGCCACAGGTTTCTCTAATCAGCCTCACTTCTTAATTGACAAATACTATGAGCATTCACATCATAGATGCTGAGCAGTCTCCAAAAGGAGCGAGATAGAAAGTAACCAAAACCACTCAGGTGGTGGAGATAGCTCAGCTGCTGAAGTGCTTGCCACACAAACTTGAAGGCCAAAGTTTGATCTCAGCGTGTACATTAAATGCTGAGTGTGGTGGCATCATTTGCAACCCCAGTGCTGGCGAGATGGACACAGCTGGGTTCCTGAGGTTTATTTGCCCAATATTCTGACCTATTGTACAAACCCCAGGTAAATAAAAGATCTCGTCTCAAAAAACAAGGTGGACTTCTAAAGAATGACACCCGTGGTTCAGATGTGTGCCACACTCACAGCGACACACACGTGCTCTGACATGAACATGCTTCCCTTCCAAAAATCCCAGAAGCGCTCTCCAATGTCTTAGACCACGATCAGATGTGGTCTAACACTCTTCCTGCCTCAGCCGTTCTGGTTAAATGCCCCTGAGGCTGCTGAAAGATTTACTGCAATAGCCAAAATTCAGGTGCGGGGATTTTCCCACCCATCAGTATGTCACTTGCACTATGATTTTGATACTCCCTCAGTGGGATTTTCTAGAGGATTATGAGAAGAAATGTCCTAAACGGAAGACTTGGTCCACTATGATTTGAGGATAAAAAAGCCCCACTTTGCCCTGTGGATCTACTTCATAGAGATTCCCAACAACTTCTCTAAAATCCATCCACAGTGCTACAATTCCCTGTTGGGGACAGCCCACTCCAAACTCTCTTCAGAGTGTTGGCTTTGCTTTGGCAAGTAAACTCCTGACTGAACTGTGTTTCTCTACTGAATTCTTTCCTCTGAGAAGATGGTAATCCAGAAAAACCCCTGTAACAGCCAGACAAATTCTCCTTTGGAGTTACTTCCTTGTGGGAAAGATAGGCAGGCAAATTATTACAAATAATAAAATATCAAATAGGAATAGAAAGGACAAAAATGGTAGTTTGAAAGGGTGAAGAGTTTACAATTTATAGTGGCAAGGAGCTGAGATGAGGACTGGGACCCTGTTCTAAACGGGGTTTTCAGGAGCACCCTTCAAGGAGGACAGCAGATGGAGAGTAAGGGGGTTCCAGGCAAAAAAGAAAGCTAGTTTAGAGTCCTTGGTAGAAACAGCTTGGTCTTGTCCTAGAATGACACTCTGGCCTGGCCTCCAGGGTCAGAGTCATCGAGAAGGAATCTAGTAAATATGAGAGCGGTCGGAGACCGGCAGCCAGCGAAGTGTGCACACATCGGAGGGTGCACATACGTGCCCACAAAGGCCAACTGCTCAGTCATATCGTTAGCAGCTCCATCCGCTTCACAGTGGACCGAAGTCTGCAAGGTACAGGAGAGCAAAGGAAGCTAACAGTGCTTCACAGTGGGGACTTCACACGGCGAGCAGTGGGGGTGAACCTCAAACAAGTATTTGGGGACAGAATTAATGAGGCCCGTGGACAGATCTAATGTGCTGAGGGATGACTTACGGTTTCATTTGGGCCGCTGGGTGACAGCAGTGTCAGGAACCAGTATGAGGGTTGTAGGATGGGGGCAGGGTGTTGGCAGTTGACAAGAGTATCAGTTTGGTTTGGAGAGTTGTTAGAAGATGAGATGCTGCTACAGGCCCAAGGCTTAGCTGAGGGCATTTCAGGGGATTTCGAGGGTCTATTGTGAACCCCCTCTACAATTTGTTATAAAACTCTAAAACAAATTATAAATGGTAGTGCTGGTACACATAAGTCAAATGCCATGAGCAAAGGTGACTAGGTTGGGAACCTAATGTCACATGCACACAAGGACGCCCCATTAATCTTAACGGATCTCAGTTGCATTAATGGGTCAGCTACTAACACTGTATATGACCATGCTGTCTCATGTCTAAAGTGAGAAAACCATTGTCTTTTACTAACATTCATAATTTTGTGAAGACTAATTAGACATATTAAAAATGGTACTTGGTACATAATCTTCCCCATGACATAATGACATGTTCTAATTACACCCAGTGGCTCACCAAATGACCCCTGACACATAGAAAGCCTTGGAAAGACAGACTTTCTCAGTTCTTCAAAGAACAGTCAGAAGGAAAACAGCTAACAGCCTGGAAGCAGGGAACAGGGTCCTTTCCTCTAGAAGAACATTCACTTTGCAGGACACTGTTTGACAGCCATTGTCTTTATGCAGCTAACTGGGAGCAGCTAACACATTTTGATGCAAGGGAAGAATTCTCCTGCAGTCTTTAACCTTGAGAAATCCCCTGAAAGAGAAGACAGAAAACCTAATGGCCCTGTGGGCTCAATCTGAGCCTCTTAGGCTGGCTTAACAAGGGCGGAGCTTGTCAGGTTTGAGTTGGCTTAAGAGTGGTTCTCAACCTTCTAATGCTGGGACCCTTTCCTACAGTTCCCTGTGTTGGTGTTGTGGTGACCCCCCCAACCATAAAACTATTTCAGTGCTACTTCATAACTGTAATCTTGCTATTTGTAATATTCACTATTATGACTCCTAATGTATCTGCTATGTGGGACCTGATATGTGACCCCCAAAGGAGTAGACCCACAGGATGAGAACCTCTGGCTTAAAAAGAGAACAGAGGCTGGAGAGACGGCATAGTCAGTAAGTATTTGTCTTACAAGTGTGAAGGGGGTCAAGGTGGTTTCCAGAATTCATGTAAAAACAGCTGGGTATGGTAGCAAATGCTTGTAATCTTAGTGCTAGAAGGTAGAGACAGAAGGCTCCTCCGAGCTCACTGGCCAGCTGTCCTGGCCAATTAGGGAGTTCCACATCAGTGAGAGAGCTTGTTTCCAAATACAAAATTGCACTCTTCAGTACTTCTGTAGACTTGTTGTTTCATGGTGCTCTGCTTTGACTTTTTTTTTTTTGTCTTACAAGCCTTGTGTTTGTATATTATATTTTCTGATTTTGTGCTTTGTAGGACTGTAAAAGGATGATTTGGTCTTCTGTAGAACACTGGCTTTGAGATAGCTGGAGACCCAACAGGTGTCCATTGCCTGTGTAGGGACAATACATATCTTGCCACAACCCCGGATTCCAGACTCCTGACTAGTGGTCTAGATCTCCATTTAATCTGCACTGTTCAGTCACATAGGACAAAGCAGCCCCTCCCAGAGAGGTTTGTGTCACCATCCACACAGAGGTAGAGGGTGTGACTACAGGCTTCAGCCTCGAGAGACTTCCATATTAATGAGTTATCTATAGTGGAAAGCTTCCCTGTGTTTCCGCCGCGGGACCCGCAGTGCTTTTATGTTTGTTTTGCATGTGTGTGTTTCTTTTTATTCTGGTTTGTTCATTGTTGAGGGGGGTGGGTATGGAGTTGGGTGGATGGGAAGGAACTGGAAGGAATTAGGGGAGAGGAAACTGATCAGAATATAATTATGAAAATTTGTTTTCAATAAAAATACATGTATATAATTTTATATAATAAAAAAGCCAAGATAGTCCTTGATGGATAATAACTGAGGTTGTCCTTTAACTTCTATGCTGGTTAGATATTGTCAACTTGACACAAATTAGGGTCACCTGGGAAGAGAGAGCCTCAGCTGAAGAACTGTCACTAATAGATTGACCACTAGGTATATCTGTGGGAAATTAACACCCACAATGGGCAGTTGGTCCTGGATGGTATAAGAAAGCAGACTGAGCAAGCCCTAGGGAGCAAGCCAGTAACCAACATTTCTCTATGGTCTCCACTTCAGGTCCCGCCTCCGGGTTTCTACTCTGACTTCCCTGTATGATGGACTATATAAGCTACAAGACAGAATAAACTCTTCCCCAAGTTGCTTTTGGTTAGTGTTTTATCACAGCAACAATGCAGCAAACTAGGACAGCTTTCACATGTGCTACCCACAAACATCAACACACACACACACACACACACACACACACACGAAGGAAGAAAAGAAGGAAAAGGAAGAAAGGGAGGGAGGGAGAGAGAAATATGTTGTTTAGCTTATGTCTGCAGCTAAATAAATGGTCCCTCCACAGAACAGGACACTCTGTGTCAGTGATACAACTGGTCTTCACATTGCAATATGAGGGTTGATAATATCTTGGATGGCCAGAGGGGGTGGACCCATAATGTCCAGTGAGTTTTCTGCATGTCCCTTTCCTCCACCATTAGCAGTGGGATGAACAGAGCTGCTGTCCACAGAGAAATCTTAGCACCACAAGCACTGTTCTCAGTTACCCATGGATACAGATGGGAAGGAAGAAACCTGGCCTCAAAACCAAGCAGTTCTCTAAATATGGGGTCAATGACGATTCAGGAGCACTGGGTTCCAGAGGGACAACAGGGTGACATGAATGTTTCTCTCATGGTTCATATCTAGAGAATAATTTGATTTTTCTAGAATTACCTCCTCCAGGATTGGTCTGTGAAGTATCAAGGCACATGGCAGGGACTGTGGCCATCAGAAAGGGCTTCTCAGAGGAACTACATAACGAGCCGAATGACTCCAGTCTGAAATGTCACTTAGCTCTCCCCAAAGTTGCAATTTTAAATATTTCCAGTGCTGCATTAGCCAGATAATTGCTTCCCACCCCACCCCCACCCACTCTATGTGTGAGAGGAAACAGGGTCATGAATACAGGCCATACATCTTGGGGAACAAGATATAGAATATGCTGATTTCAACATTTTTAAAGAGTCTGACTAGGGAAAATTCTACACATTAGTGAGTGTGTATGTGGGTGATACATTAAATCCTGGTACATTCTTAAAAACAGACCGATAAATCAAAATGAGAGTGCAGAAGGCCTAGCCTTCTTCCTCATACCTGGGCTCCCCAGAGTCGTTCTCTTCCTCTTCTTCCTCACTTCCGCTATATTCATACTCAGTCTCATCTGGAGAGAGAGCACAGAATGTCAGTGTAGAAGAGTGTTTCTCAACCTGTGCATCGCAGCCCCTTTGTGGAGGTGAATGACCCTAGGATGATCATAAGACACAGAAATTTACATCACGGTTCACAACAGTAGGAAAATTACAGTTATGAAGCATCAACATGATAATTTCATGATTAGGGCCGAGCACAACACAAGGAACTGTATTAATGGGTCACAGCAACAAGAAGGTTGAGAACCACTGGTGTAGATGGTGGCGTTGCTGCCCAGAGAAGACCCCGCCCCCTTTAATAACTTCCATGAGCCCCAGAACCAAACTGTGGTCAATGGACCACAACGTAGCAGCAATCCCATAAGACAATAGAGCTGAAATTCTGATTGCCTATTGACACTGATGCTGTGCTGACACCATGGAGCAATGCATGACTCACCTGTCTGTGGCAGTGCTCGTGTGAGCCAGCACATGATAGTACACTACACAGAAGCATGCACAATATGGCTACTTGGTAATAACACATAATCTCTGTATACTAGCCTATATCAAAGGCTTAGAACACGTAATATGCAGATATGCAGGCAGCCCTAAGTTTAATCCCACTTCTGGATATCTGTATCTATATCTATATCTATATCTATATCTATATCTATTATCTATTATCTATCTATCTATCTATCTATCTATCTATCTATCTATCTATCTGTGTGTGTATGTATGATTGACTCGCAAGGAACATTCATTTAATTCAGTAAAATAATAAACAAGGTAATGTATATTAAGATTGAATCTTTGCCTTAGTTACGATCAAAATACAATGAGCAAGACACATACATGAGTGCCACTTCCATGGCTATAAAAAAAAAAAAAGAAATGAGTGTTTGGAAGGCATCGCACATGTAAGCAACTAGGGTTAGATATTTTAGATTTGCTATCTCACTTACTTATGGTAATAATCCTCTAAAATAAGGGAGGTAGCCAGATTATAAACGAGTGATGCCTTCATATTAATAACAAGCTCAATCTGGGACGCATATTTAGAATTCAGTATTGGACTGTTGCAGTGTGAAAGCCAGTGTCTCCTTAACATGTCATATCCTGAACAGAAGCACACAGAAGGCAATGGGAAGGGAGAGGGGGGAGCAACTACCCACTCCCACCCCTTGCTCAGAAAGTGGAGATAGCAGTGGTGGAGCGCTGGGGTGGTGATGTACTGGGTCTTGGAAACCCAGTGGTCCTTCTGCTGGCAGCAGGTGGAAGACACAGGAAACAGGAGTGCAAACAATTTGCCTGCATGTGACACTGGCAGTGTTACAAGCTCAAGAAACGCAAGTCCTGAGATGAGATGCTAGGGGTCAGGGAAGCAGATGGTAAGACCAAGATGCCTAAGGTACAGTGACTCTCAGATCCTTAAATGTGCCATGCTGAGGACTTTTCTGTAGGTGATGAGAAGGCCTTAGAGAATCTTTGAAGTAGAAGGAGATGCCACAAAACTGTCCTTTTCCCTTAGAGCTATGAGTTATTAATTACTACCTGAAGATGTTTGTATAGCCCTTCAACAGGACTGAAATTGCAATTTTGCTATTTATCACTAGGAGGCAGTATTCACACTAGAAACCCCCCAGATTGGCTAACTACCTATATTTCGATATTAGAGAATAAAGGAAGACAAAACGTGATGAGTTCAGGTGCATTTTGTAAAATCACATGTGAGCCTCAGTTTAGATGATCATGAACCTCTCCGGCTACCTCTTTCTAACTAATGTTCTCTGCAAATGTAAAGAATCTGCAGTAAAGTATCCATAACTCATACTAAAACAATGCACTCTCAAAAACGGAAGAAGAGTTCAAGATACCATGCAGAAGCTTGACCCTATGAAGGCCATTGTTGTGAATGAAAGAAGCACAGAAAGATTCAAAGTGCTTTGATTTTTCTAAAGAAGTTTAACTTGTCGGTCTCCTTGATGTTAATATTTTACCAGAACTCAGCTTGATTGTGTTTGTACTACAGGATTAAGTTAGTAAGTGTCAATATATCTTAAGGAAAAATATCAGGTCAAAAATCATAACATATTTAAAAAAATAAAACTCTTTTTTTTTTGCAAAGATGTAATGAAAAGGGGGTTGTTTGGGGGAGGGAGGCTGGAGAGGTGGCTCGAAGGTTAAGAGCACCTTCTAGAATACCAGGATTGATTACCAGTGCCCACATGGAACCTCACAGCCATCTATAACTCTAGTTCCAGGGGATCTGAAGCCTTCTTTTAGCCTCTGTGGTGCACATACATACATGAAGGCAGAACACTCATACATACAAATGAAATATATATGTATGTATATGTGTATGTGTATGTGTATATGTCTGTCTATCTATCTATCTATCTATCTATCTATCTATCTATCTATCATCTATCTATCTATCATCTATCTATCATCTCTCTGTATCTTAATGTGAGAGGGCCTGAAGAGATGACTAAGCAGTCAAAAGCATGTGCTGCACTTACAGAAGACCTGGATTTAGTTCCCAGAACCTACATTGGATAACTACTCATAACTCCAGTTCCAGGACATCTGATGCCCTCTTCTGGCCTCCAAGCACATCAGCAGATGCTGCTCACAAACCCATGCAGGGATAGGCACATTCACACACACAACAAAATAAATCAATAGATATTTAAGCCAAAACAGCAACTCTCTTCTTTTCGCTTAGACATAGCTCTTACATGTACTTATTAATGAGAGCCCTGCTCTTTCACACGATGGAGAATGAGAATATTAAAAGTAGCCTTCCTGTCATCAAGGCATGACAGTTTCTATGTCACATTTCAGTATTTGTAGCTCCCAAATTTGAAAACAATGTAAAACACAAACTTTCCCAATTTTTATTCATGGATCATGAGTCCTGAGAAAGTCCCCTTGAATAGTTGCAAAAAGTGATGGATCAATAAAGAACAGACTAAGAGTAGGTATCAGTGTTTAACTATGTATCAGATACAGTATTAAGCATTTTATATGTATTATCTTTGTTGAAAGGGTCACTGAAGATACTTCCTCCTTCCTTAGTCTGCTGCTGATGTTGTCTGTCCATCCAGTTTCTTTACCATCTGGCTTCAAGCCTCAGCTTACACAAGTTGTTGTTGTGTTATTACAAAAACCAAAGAAATAAAACACACATGGGTGACTTCCTCCTGTGTTGTCTGCTTCCCTCCACTGCTCTGGGGAGGTGTTGGAGGAGAGCGAAGCAAGGAAAAGCACAGACAGCCACTCTAGTCTGGTCCACTCTGTTCCCGTCACCACACTCTCAATGGCTATCATTCTATCCTGAAACTGCCTCTCACTTCTACTGTCCCCTGCTCCCCACCCAGTGAGTTCCCGTCCTTCCTAATCCTCCTTTTCATGCCCCAACTTTCCCTTCCCCCCCACCTTATGCTCAGCTGGCCAAAAGCCCTGCAGCAGACATGTAAGCTTTCACTAACTCAGAAACAAGTAGGATTGTCAGCCTCCATTCCTTGGCACTCTGCTTAGGCACAGTCCCAATGTGTCACATCTGTGCTCCTGTGCTTTCCATGACACAGGGAAGACTGTACAGGAGAGGAATATGTGGATCCATAAAATGAGGAAGTGCATTCCAGGACCTTCAGCTCAAACTCTGTTGCCACGCTGCTAACTTGGCAACCCAGTGGTCTTTTTGTATTACTGATGCTGTAAGAAATTCTTTTCCGACTTCTAAATAACCGAAACAAGTCTTGGAGCACAGAAACACAAACACTGAAGACTGTCAATGCAGAGAAATGCCAACTAGATGGTGTCTTTAGGTTGTCTGACAAGTGTAGATGTCACTCTTTGGAACATGAATATTCATCTGAATTAAGAGAAGTCACTTGTCATTTAAAGTGCTTCATAGTATCACTCATCATGGCTTTGTTTGGTGCCTTAAAGAAGAAATATGGCTCACAGGTCTAATTTTTCCATGGAGATTTGCCATTACTTTCCACTAATACCCAAGGCTCTGACCTAACAGGCAGATTTTACACGAATAATGCAGCCTATGAGAAATCTCCTGTCACCTTCAAATACATCAAGAGCCCACAGTGAACTGCCTTTTGTTTCTTTCTCTGAAATACAAATGTACAACTAACCTTTTTCTCCTCGCTTCTTCTTTGTTCGATCAATGTGGTCCTTCAGCTGGATTCGGACCTGCCTCTCATTAGGCTGGTCTCGTATGAATGGGTGCTTCATCAACTGTTCTGTGGCTGGCCGCTGGCTGTGATTCTTTACCAAGCAGCTCTCGATAAATGACTGGAATTTTTTTGACCTGTCAGACAAAAGAGATGAATTCACTGATAGAACGCTAATATAAAAGAAAAGAAAATACATCTTTTGAAATGTGACCTTAGAGAGAGACAGAGAGAGAGAGAAAGAGAGAGAGAGAGAGAGAGAGAGAGAGAGAGAGAGAGATCCATTTGATGAGCATAGGGAAATCAACACAGTCTTGGTATATCAGTACAATGAAGTTCAAAGGTGTCATCACCATCAACATGGGCAGAAGGTAACATAATGGTAGTTATACACATGGGAACGTTTTGACACAGGAGCACAATCTTACAGGAGAGAAATGACTTGTGAAGGGAAGAAGACAGGCAGGGACCCTGGAGTGAGGGAACTGGAGGTTTACAGACCCGGGAGAACAAAATTCTCAGTGTGTAAAGGTCGACTCAGAGGGTACGGAGTCAGCGTCAACATCCTCAGGGAGTAGGAGTACTGTAAGCAGGGAAACTACAGTGAGCAGCCTGCATCAGGCAGAAGACATCAGCCAAAGTGTAAAGAACCGAGGAAGGAGGGCCAGGCGGTGCTTTGTGGGAATGAACAAGATTCTCATATGATAAAGAGAACTCAGATGGAACAATTCTGTTTGTTTGTTTTGTTTTTTTGAGACAGGGTTTCTCAGTGTATTAGCCCTGGCTGTCCTGGAACTCGATTTGTAGACCAGGGCAGCCTTGAACTCAGAGATCTGCCTGCCTCTGCCATCGAAGTACTGGGATTAAAACTGGGCACCAACACACCTGGCTAGGCCAAATATTTAAACAGTAACTTTTAAGTTGCTTCTGAATTCTGTTTTCAGTTGATGAGAGAAGGACGTTTGGGTCTTTTGGCTACCAACCAAAAGACTCGGACATTTAACTGTGGCATTCTAGTTCATATCCTTAACTAATCCCCACCCCCCCCAAAGGCCCAATTTCCTTCTAGATAAACTCTATGCTAAAGAAGTCTGGAAGCTGGGAAGCCCTGGAGGCAGATACCCCAGCAGACAGGGCAGGCAAGGCCACAATGCAGCAGCAGTTACTGTGGACTTTAACCTGGATTTATGGATGGAGCATGCGTGTTTTTGCTGAAAGTTACAAGGAGTTATCCAGAGTCAGAAGCAATTAACTTCCCAGCATGCCTTTCCAAGGCTGTCCAGGAACAGTTCAAGATCACAGTGGAACCCCAGACAACTAAGCACCTTGCCTACTCAGAAAGGAGCCACCTTTTGCTCTCTGTTGCCCTCTTGTGGCTGCACTATGGATTCACCCCTTCCCCTAAAGGAAGGCTTTCTCAAATTCCCTAATACGAAGATTTCCCAGAAATGTACATATTTCAGGCTCATATTTCAGAAATGTACATATCTCCATCACATACAGTACCATGTGCGGCATGTCTTCCGGCATCCAAGAGAGGGGTGGGGAGAACACTCAGCAGTTAAGGTCACTCATGTACAAATCTGACAACTCAGGTTCAACCCCAGACCCAAGCCAGATGCCTGTGGGAGAGTGAGCATCTGTTATCCTAGTTCCCTGGAGTGAGACTAAAGGGAAGTCTCCTGGAAGCTCAGGGCCCAGCCATCTTGGAGTAGAGAGCAAGGCAGAAGCATCAAGAGAGACCTTGAATCAATAAAATGGAAGGAGAAAAGCAACACCTGAAAGTTGTCTCCTGACCTCTGTGTATGCACTGTAACATGTGCTTGCCTGCGTGGGCGCGCGCACACACACACACACACACACACGAGAGAGAAAGAGAGAGAGAGAGAGAGAGAGAGAGAAACAGATAGACACACAAACAGACACACACAGAGAATAAATATTTAATGTACATTATATATGTATATAAAATAATACAAGAGCCGGGCAGTAGTGGCGTACACCTTTAATCCCAGCACTTGGGAGGCAGAGGGAGGTGGATTTCTGAGTTCGAGGCCAGCCTGGTCTACAGAGTGAGTTCCAGGACAGCCAGGGCTACACAGAGAAACCCTGTCTCGAAAAACAAACAAACAAACAAACAAACAAACAGAAGATAAAATAATACGAGACAGACAGACAGATACATGCATACAGACACTCACACATACACGCATGTACACACACAGAATACATACAGGCTATTTTTTGCTTCTGCTTGCACCATAGCAATTTCTTATTTCATGCTTTTCAAGTAATAAAATTTCTCCCTGAATTTCTAAACTATGCATGAGCTTCTAAAGTATCTTGCATAGATCTAAAATCAATGCAGCATCCTTACCCACTGCCCTTCCCCCCAGATGAATTAGGGTTGGCTACAGAGCAACGCACCTGCTTGTGACTTCCTGAAGCCTGGGCTCTGTGTCTTTCTTCCTGAAAGTGTTCAGCAGTGTCAGGAAAAGCCCAAGTCATGCTCATGTCATGAGCACACTACCTGTTCTATGTGTTTGGTGAATAGATGGATGGATGCACACATGGAAGTGCCTGGTACCAGCTATGGTCTGGCTGTATTCAATCTGGGCTTGTAAGGAACCGATAGAGAGATCTGGGGGCTGGGGAGATGGCTCAGTGGATAAAGTACCTGCTGGGCAAGCATGCGGACCTGAATTTGAACCTCTAGCACGAATGCATATAGCTATCACATCAGTGTGAGTTTAGAATCTCTGTGGTTGGAACGGAAGACAGGACAGGCAGATCCTCATAGCTAACTGGCCAGCTAGTATATGTAGCCTATCTGTACGTTTCAGGCTCAGTAAGAGACAACAATCTCAAAACATGAGGTAAAGAGTGAGAGATGCAGTCACCCAACATTGAATTTAGGCTTCCAAATAGGTGTGCACAAATGTGCCCACATACATATACTACACACAAGGACACATATGCACAAGCACACACACACACACACACACACACAAGAGAGAGAGGGGGGGTTGAAAGGAGTAGTTTAATTTTCTTTCCAATATCAATCAAATAAAAAGAAAATAGTGAAAAAAAAGAGACTCTTCTAAGGAATGAACTGGAAACCATATGACAGGAACCTCAAACCTGCCATAAGACAGCGGCAAATCTGGCAAACTCCATCCATCGGCTGCTCTGAGCAGGAAAATCAGAATCAAAACCATGAAAAAAAGACCAACTTAAGAGAGCTATAAAATATTCACAAGGAACGAAATAGGAGTTCTCTCTCTCACTGGCGGCTAGGAGGAAGTGCTTGCTTTATTACTGTAAAGTGCTCCACTATTAATTAGAGGGTGATAAATAAGAGCAATCACATCCAATTTGAAAAATGAGATCCAGACCTCAATAGACTGTGCATTCGTTTTTCAAACACTGACATCTAAAAACAAAACGGCCAAAAGGGAAAAAAGCCAGAAAACCCTCTAGCTGTATAGGCAGAACAGTGCTCCAGCAGTGTTGCATTCAAACAACCAGCTATGAGACCTTTCCTCTCAGAGCTCTGCTGGAGGAAGGACCTCTGTCCAAAGGACAGAGATAAGGTGCAGGGCTTGTAATGAGTCTATATCCTTTTTATAGGCATCATTTGAAGAGAAAACATTGCTCACTTAAAACACATCCCCAAGCCTAGTGTGCTGGCACATTCCTGTAATCCTGGCAACTTGGAAGATTGAGGCAGGAGGATCACCATGAGTTTGAAGCTATAGGCTATGTAGTGAATTTGGGGACAACTTGGACTACATAGCAGTACCCTGCCTCCACCAAAAGCGACCCCAAACCAAAATTCCCATGTCTTTAAAGAAGTGTTCACTTAGTTTCTAAGTTGCTGTGACCAAGGAATCAATATGTTTAATTGCACAATTAATTACAAGCAAAAGTATTTCACAAAAGTTGAACCCCCGTTTACTCAGTATTTCAGTGGGTTCAAAGTAAATTTATGGTACTGCTGGTAACTTAGCTTTGTCTCTTAGAATACAAAAACATAACAACTTCCAGGAAGGTTATCAATATAACCCATGTTTGATGCTCACAAACTGAGAGGCGACAGAGTCACCCTGGTTACATGCTGAAGTCAGTTACATTAGACATTGTGATCAGGAGGGATGGATGCTTTGGGGAGACATCATATCAATACAGAAAATTTTGAAAATCTCTCTTAGTTCTCACAGCTACCCACTTTCTCTGCCTTGGGCTTCATCGATTGTGTGGTTCAGGGTAAATGACTTCTTCTCTGTGCCCATTTCCCTGACTGCAAATATAGATGTCCACAGTGCATACATTAAAACACTGCTGTATCAATTAAACAAGTTAATTCCTTCAAAATGCCTCTTGAGATTAGAGCTGACATGACCATGGAGATATCTGACCATTCTCTGACCATCACTGGATTCAAAGAAGAGAAAACTCTTTCCTATGGATTGCAATGGAAACCACATATTGACCCCCTATACTTTTATTGAATAAAATGGGGACCACTGAGCACTGTTCAGTGGCAGGGTTTGAATGATGACTTTATCATTGTGAGAATATCATAGAACCTATCTACTCAAGCTGTGATGGCTTCAGAGGCATCGGGTGGTCCAGTCTTATGGCACCACTGTCACACATGGAGTCCATTGCTAACCCAAATTTTGTTATATAGCAGGTGACTGCACAGCATTTTTTAAGGGAATTGCTGTAGATGCATTTGGGGAAGCTGAACAGAAAAGGTTAATTTCAAAACTCATGTTCCAGTTTGGGTTTTGATTTTGATGAAGTGTATAGTCACAGTACAAACTAGCCAATTCAATGTATCTCAAGTATTTTGTGACACCTACTTTATATTGTTATTTTATTTGGAACACACACACCTACACACACACACACACACACACAAACACACACGCGCGCACACACACACATCTACAGCCCTACAGTCCTACCTTCATTCTATCTCAAAAGTAAGGTTCCTGACAGCAGACACGGAGCTCTAAAAAATACTCAGTGTTAGGGGTAGGGTGTGTGCTGGTTAGATTTTTTGTCAATTTGACACAATCTATGGTCATCTAGGGAAACCTCTCTGTTACTGAGAAAATACCTCTGTGAGACTGGCTTTTAGGCAAGTCTGAGGGGGCATTCGTGGATTAGTGATCGATGTGGAAGGACCCAGCTCACTGTGGGCCCTGAGGACTTGTAGCAAGAGTTTTGAGAGGTAAGGCAATGAGCGGCAGAGTGAGCTTCTCTTCAAGGAGCCCTGAGAGCCATTGCACAGTGCTGTGAAGTGAAGCCTCATTTGCAAAGGAGAACTCAGTATATTAGATTATGCCAGGACTGTGGGATGCCCACCGAGGAACGCTGTAGGCATGGAGTGGAGCCATTCTAAGAGAGGCCATGTGTGCTGTGGGCAGAGGAGAGGCACACTGGCAGAGATCGGATGACACCACCACGAGCCTTAGATGCTTTTCACAGATCCTCTGGATTTTGTGCTTCCCCTGCTAGACTCAGGCCTTGCAATCTCCATATCCTTCTCAGAAGGAGAATTTTATTTTGTGCTATTGCATATAGGAAATATGTGAGCTGGGTTTTAATGGTACAGGTTTTACAGTTAAGAGATACCTCGAGTATCACAAAGCTTCTAAGCAACTGAATATCAAACTGTTAAGATGGAGGTGGTTCATGTAGAGGGAGTAAAAGCACTTTGCATCATGAGATGATCATGTGTCTTTGAGGCCCAGAGGTGGAGTTTTATAGTTTAAAGTGACATTTTTTTGAGGATCACGTTGACAAGGAGTGGACATGTGATGGCCAGTCTTCATTGCCAGGTAGACTGGGTTTAGAATTACCTAAGAGAGACAGCTGGGAGTATGCTAGGAAGCAAATGACCAGGCAATAGGTTCTACTGAGGAGGGAAGGTCTAGCTCCCATGTACACAGCATCACGCAGGGCTTGGAGTCTCTGGATAAAAAGGAAGGTGTATGACATCTGCTGAATATCAGCATTCATCTCTCTCTCTTCTTGATTGTGTGCACAGTGTGACCCCTCCTTAGTTCCTCTGCCATGATGGGCTGTATCCCTTCTTTAATTGTGAGCTGAAGGAAATCATCCTCTCTGAACCTGATCTTGTCAGGTATTTGTTACAGGAATGACAAAGTGGTCAATGTAGCCTATGAGATGGCACATGCCTGTGGATGGCCAGCTTGTTCCTCTGTGGAAAAGCTTAAAATACCTCCCTGGAGCGGTGAGGGAGAGGAGGGGACAGGAAGTGAGGCCTGTGGTAGACAGTACCCCCACCCCCAGAAGCTTGGCACATTACAAGCAGAAATCTGGCAGGCAGCAGCCTTTGCAGAATTAATGTTGCTTCCAGGGGAAGGAACAGAGCTGGCTCCTCTCTCCTGGAGTTGGATCCAGGGAGGAAAGGAGAGAGAGATCTCAGGAGAGTGAGGAGGGGCCCTCCTGTGCTCTGTCACCACATGCTATACGGTGTCCAATGAAAGGCTGTTGCTGGGGAGAGAACATGCCTTTCTCTTACCACAGTGACCCTCTGAGAGGAAGGAGAGCAGTTACCAATAGCAACTCACACTCCCCTTGTAGGTCTGGCAACTTAGAGACTGTCATTGCTTGTGGCTTTACTGTTTCCTTCCTCTCTCTGTGTGCCTTTCCTCTGTTGAGCCAGGATTGCCATGTCATTACCAGATGACTGGTACTAATTAAGCTTGCTCTATGTGGTAGGTGGTGTCTGTGGGTGGGAAACAGGAGGATGCCAGTCAAGGGCCTGAGCCTTAAGTCATTGGAAAAGGGACAAACAACTTGTTCCCTTTTAGTTGAACTACCCAGGGCTCATGTCTATTGAAAAAAAATCACAGGAGGTCACAGGCTGGTAGGGACTGACTCTAATGCCAAAGGGCCCAAAGATGTAAGAATGTATTAGGAGGCCATGCCACTTCTGCAGCAGGGGAGGGAGGAAGCATTGGATTTTTATAACAGAATAACAAGGTATAAATACCGCAATATAAGCACACCTGGGAGTGACAGGAGACATCTGGCACATCTGGAGGACTCCATTTCCAAGCCTCACCTGGTCGCTCACTGTCCGCATCCCTATCTAACCCCACTTTCAAGGAGTAGCATGTAGTAGCTCTCTTTAGAACAAGTCACCTTTTTGTCAGAATAAGCTCATTAAGAACAAAGGTTATACTGCTGCCCCCAAATAGAAAGCCAGCATGCTCTGTCACAAAAAGAAAGGAACTAAAAAAAGCCACAAAGAAGCACCATTTCCCATGCCAAAAACATCCCATGGACCATTAGCAGGTCTGTGTGGGTGCACAGGGAACCACTGTCCTGAGGAATAGAATGGGCTAACTCTAAATCATCACCTTTCCTGAAGAAATGTGCCGTGCAGCCAGGCGAGCACACCCCTGCAGTCATAAGTCACATCGTTTTCGTGCCATTACTCGGGCTCCATTTTGGCTAATAGCTCCTTGCCTTGAGGATAGGGTTAACAAGCTGCAGCACACAGACAGCAGGTAACAAAGCTGCAAGTCCAAGATGAATGGTGGCATACGGAATGTCACCTACCAAGCTGTGGCATGCATTTTTAAAAATATCTAGCCAGAAGGACCTAGGGATCAGAGGCAATTCGAAAGATCTCAGAGAGCCTGGGTGGATGGCTCGTTCACTACAGTGTGTGTCATTCAAGCATGAGGACCTGAGTTCAGAGCCCTAGCACTAATGTAGAAAACTAGGTGTGCTAGCACGTGCCTGTAATCCTATGGAGATTGACACAGGAGGATCACTGGGGTTCAGGTTTAATAAAACCCCTTGTCTATAAAAGTAAGGTAGAAAAGCAACCATGAAAGATAACAGAGGGCAACCTAAGGCATCTACATACAAGCACATGCATGTGCACCTGCAGACACATGTTCACACATACACACAAAAATAACAGACAAGTAAAAAGAGAGACCACAGAAAGCTTCATCCTCAGATCTGAAAAGCACTGATGGGCAAACTTACCACTTCTTAGACTTGAGGCGAGGCGCGGGGTTCCGTGGGATTAGGAAGAGGGCTCTCATGGGATGCATGTCACAGAGGGCTGTGGGAGACCGAAAACAAGGACCAGATTCAGTCAGAGGCCTCCCACACTACCATCTTGGCTGTACCCGAAGTATGCACATGTCTAGAAGGCTCATGGGAGCAAGGGGTCAGCATCTCAAAGCTTCCAACTGGCAGACAATCAAAGAGCTGATGTCTAATTAGATGGGTCTCATAAAACACACATTTCAAACAGATATTAACATTCCTCAGGGGCACACCTTTACTTCATAAGGAAAACAAGTCAAAGGATCAACAACTAGCCACCTGTCATTCAAAATAAACACCATCAGATGACAGCTATGATTGGCGTGGCTAAGGTAATTTTTCTTTTAACCAAAACCTAAGCCACAATATAAGTGGTATCTGAACATCCAAAGTCAGCATCTTCCCCACTGCAGGCTCACAAAGACACTGCTAACTATGCAAATTTTTAGACTCTTCAGTCCCCTGCCAGAACACCATTCTGTTTCCAAATGTCCCTGGTACCTTTTCAGGGTGCAATATGTGCTTTGTTTTTAAATCCTCTGGCCCCAGGATGATGGGAGAATGAAGTCAGCTTATAGACATGATGCAATCTTTTATCATGGACACACTCTATATTCTTCTTTCAATCAACATATCTTATTAGTTTATTTTCTAACAGTGAGAATACAGGTTCCACCCCCACCTCCTTTTCTTCTGTACCAAGATTGAGAATATATGTTCCCTCAATGCCAGAAGATTCTGTGGGTAGAGTTTATTTTTAGTCTTGTCTACCACTCGAGATGATAGCACAGTTTTAAGACTGTGGTATCCGAATATTCTGAGTCACAAATGTCATTGTGAACAAAGGAAATTCTGTCAACAAACACTCCCAGTCAATCATGCTGCTGATGGATTCAAGGAATTTAAGTCCTTGTGACAGCAGTGACGGGTGTATAGGAAGAGTCCCGAGTCTCAGAACCAAGGGTCATGAGGGTGAAGGGCCTTTTCAGTCCTAGTCCTGTGAGAAGCGGCTGAGCAGGTATGACTGTGTGAGAAGCACAAGCAAGGACATGACTGGGACCATTTCCTGTGTAAAGGGAGGTACAAACATGTCCGGAAAGGTACGACTATTGCTATGCCTATCCCTGGGTACAGGAAGGGTGTCTTGACGATGATCGATCGTGCCATCTGAGGCACAGTCAGCCTGGGGGCTTGAATCACAACTGCCTGCAAAGTGAATCGTGTCTGTCAGGAAAGGGTGTGCCTTGGTGTCTTTACTGTGGTTGGCACAGATGGGGAAAGGAGGCTCAGTCGGAGGGGTCTGGAGGTCCAGTCAAAGTTTCCCAGGCCACCACAGCAGCTCCCAGAGGTGTTCTTCGATATTAACACAGAAAGTCCCAAGGAACTTGGGAAGCTCTGGTTGCCAGCGTCTGAGACACAGCTTCAATAAGGGCACAGATATCTAATGCTCTAAACACTTATATTTTCAGAAGAATGGCAGCCTCCCATCTTCAGGGATTTGTGAAAGCTGTACCTGGGAATTCAGCTTTGGAGTTTTATACTTGGGAACTGACCTTGTTTGTGGTGCATCTGTGTGAGGTGCAGTGCCTCCAGAAGGAGCCACACAGTAAGTGGGTAAGACAAAAAGCCTCCCCCAGAGTATGCTCTCTTCTTTCCTAGCAAAACACAGATCTGCACACTGGTCTGCAATGAACACATTCCTGGTTGATTTAAATTGTCTCTGCTTTCTAAATATGCCACATCAGACCCATGCCAGGCTCAGAGTAGCAGAAGTAGGCCAACCGCAGCCCTGGCAAGGAGCCCACAGGACCTGCAGAACCAACCGGCAGCAAATTTTCCCCCAGAGGAAGGAACTTACGGGGGGCACCTTCTGCCATCTCAATGGCGGTGATTCCCAAAGACCACAAGTCACTCTGCAAAACAAGAAAGCACAGATACACACATAAATTCAATCAACAGACAACAATTTGGTTAAACCTGGTAATTACTTCAGAACAGCCTGTGGGGAAGTCAATCCATTGTCTTTACAAACCTATTTCTCCATCCAGCTGCAAAGCCAGAGGAGTCATGCTTACTTCTAGAATACATTTTCCTGGTGCCTGTCTGGCATATTGTATGTTTCCAATAAATGTATGAAAAGAAATATAAGGTTTTTAAAAGTTACTCTATTACTGAGATTTGTATGTCAGTCAAACCATATGAAATTTTGCTGTTTTCAATCTTTTTTTTTTTTTTTTAAAAACACCTGTAAAGTAGTGGGTTCCATGCTGCTGTCAGAACACCTGCCTAGCATGGACCTTCCTCCTGGCTCTTGTTCATCCCCTACTCCCCTTCCATACTCCAGATAGTCCCCCTTTCTATTCTTCTGTCTTATATGCAGTTTTTTTCTGTCAATGCTTTTATTGAGCTATAGTTGTTACATAGTAAATGGCACATGTGTGAAGTATACCGTTTGATGAGCTAGGTCACTCCCGTGACCCCACCATAACAGCCTCAAACATCACACCTCCAGAAGACCCCTAGGAAGCTTCCCCTTTCTTTCTTATTCCTCATTCTACTGTCTAGGTGACTTATCCTCCTGTTTCCTGTCACTGTAGATTGATTTCATCTTCCAAATTTTATAGGAAAAGAATGTAACAGTAGGTACCTCTCGTGTCTGGCTCGTATCACTTGTTATAGAGTTCCCGCAGGCCCTCCTTCTTGTATCATACCTTGACACTTTGTGCCCCCTTGCCTTTGGTAGTAGCATACTGAGTGATGCACTCGAGGTGGATCACTACTTGCTGGTAGGCATCTGGAGTGCATCCAGGTTGAGCTATTCTCTATGAAATGGTTGCATACCTTAGTGTCTGGGTCTTGGTTACAAGCTTTTATGCCTTCTGAAGAAATGCCAACAGGTAGAGCTGGCAGACTAGGAGGCATTAGTCACAACCAATTGTGTTTAACGCAGAGCAACATGTCCCTTACTGTGACAAGATGAGGATCAGTGCACATGGACATTTCAGCGTGGGCAACCACGTGTTCCCCAACTTGTTTATAAACTGCCATGAAAGCAGGTCTTTGAGTCTTAACCTGCTTTCCCAGGTTTGGATGGACTTTCAGGCTCTCATCTGAGTTTTCCAGCCTAGTGCTTCCCACTTTACCGGAAGGGATCTCCATGTCTAATACCAGGCACGTTTTCCCACACTCTATCCAGGTGAGGTGATCTGTAAGTACAGTGTGCCTGGTGTCACCAAGACAAGAAGGGAACCAGCGAGACGAACTCAGAAGGTTGCTCACTGTTCCCGCCTCTCAGTGGATGGGTAAGAAGATGTGTGCCTGGCTCACTGACCTGCACTCTGGTACCAGCAGCCACCACACTCCCAGCATCTTGGGAATTTCACGCACATTCTTCACGATCTTCCCTGTAACCACACTCACAGCATACATATATCAAAATAAAGCTTCCTCGGTCTTCCCATCAAGCAAACATCAAGGGCACAAGAAGTGGGGGGAAAGGGGTGGCAGTCAAAAGGTGTAATTGGAAGGGAGCCATGGGATAGATGCTGAGTCATTCACTAGAACTGAATTTCTCAGTAGCCTGTGAATGACAGCCAAGCCTGTTAAGTATTTGAGCAGAGTTCCTTACAATATACAAAGGGATATTCAGGGCACCCTGGCTCTCCTGTGGAATGCAAACACTTTAGAGCTCATAGCAATGGAGTGAGTAAGGCACTGTGCTTAGATGCCAAGTCACAACAGTGCAGGGAGTCAACTCTCCTCCTCTCTGTGCTCTTTCTGGACTTCTTCCAAAGCTCCATAGCACACAACCACACTAGTATATGTACCTCCAAGCACACGACTGTTCCTTGTGTCTCCTGACCTTGCTTAGTGAGCTCCAGGCTCACCTTTTACTACTGGCTCAGGAGTGCAACCCGACAAAGATGAGAATGCAGATCTCTAGTGCCTGGCTTTACAGATTGGCAGAGAAAGGTAGTTGCTTGGGAACATGATGAGAATGTCAAGTCACTCCTTGTGTGGGAGTGGCCAGGCACCAAGTAAGGAGAAGAGCCTGGAAGCTGAGGGTCATCATCAAAGGTCCCTGAATTACTTGATATTACTCCACTGTCCTCAGGACTTGATAGTTCCTCTGGCAGTTTCCCCATAGCCCAGGGACAGTTTCTGTAGCATGAAGGAAGGAGGAGTCAGGCTCTCAGCTGAGAGCTGACAGGGCAGGGGTGGACTGAAATGGCCTTCAGGCCCAGGGAGCTTTGAGCTGGTGTGACAGTTCACACATTTGAAAGGAAATGATGGCCCCAAGCTGAGAGGGCTCCAGTCAGGCTTTAGATAGAGAGAAAATGCTCTGTGCAGTCAGCCTCACTTCTGCCTCTGAGCTTCTGTTTAAACTTCCCTACATGGAGGGAGAAGTGGCAAAGGGGCCAGCTCTCCAGGGATGTTCAAGTTGGCCCCTCCTGACTCTTCCCTTCCAAGAAGTCTGGATCCCAGTGGCTTCCTTCCGTTGTGCCAACCGCTAGCTTTTCCTTCTGCTAGCCCCTCACACAAGTGAGTCCACTCAGCGCTCTCTATTAACAGCACGCTGTGTTTCATCGTTACACCCTTTATCTCAACATATACAAACCTGGGCTAGGAGGGGGCAGAAAGAGACGGGGTGGGGGGATACAGAGGGGACAAGATGAGGCCTTGTGTCATAGATCTTCGCTTTGTTGACTGAACAGTACTGGTACATAGTAGGTCCTTACTTTAGACATGCTAAAAAAACAAACAAGGAGAAGGTACATGAGAGCAAAAAAAGCAAATAGTTCAAGGTGTCTGCTGTCTTCACAGCTCTCCAGGCCCCAGATGACCGAGGAGCTAATCTCCATGTATTAAAAGGAGCTGGGTCCCGCGCTGCCTTGGCCATTTCTCCTGTAATTACTGTTACCATGCTAGGTCTTGAGTACTCATCTTTAAGTTAGTAACCCATAAATAACTGTTCCTGATTCTTCCTTTGTCCACGGGTGACTGAGGTGTTGGGAAAACAAAGGTGCTGGGATGTCCCAAGGTTCCCATTCCTAAGCTACAAAGCCAGCCTGAGCTTCCCAGAGGAAATGTAGGTTGGTAGAGAGAACAGGCTCTCAAAGCAGAGAGAGCCGGATTCAGTTCCAGGTTTCTAATTTAGTGACTTGCAGAATGCTGCCCAGCTTAGCTTTTTCAATGGCACAGGAGGTGCCGGTGGCGTGCATGTTTTCAGGAACACTGCCTAGCACAAAATCTGGTGCACAGCAGGGCTCAAGCATATGGATTCTCTCCGCTCTCACTGCTGGGTGAGGCTTCCTTGGCCTGCCAGTTTGGTTGTCATGGTTTCCCTCCATGAAGTTGTAGCAGACACCATTTGTCGGTTAACCTGAAAGCACCTTTAACCCCACTCATACTGCTCCCCCATTTCAGAGCACCCCATAGCTGCTTTTCCTGGCACTCTAGCAGTGAGTTAGATTTGTGACCAGATCTACAGCCAATGAGACATACACAAACAGCCCTGGGAGCGTGTGCTTTTCCCAAAATAGGGAGCTAACACAGCTGCTGTCTTACAAACTCCTTTCAACTTCTTAATGCCTTGAATAAAAACATGGCGCCTGAAGTTACAACACCCATCTTGCAACCGGGGGCAGCATGCCAACTACTGATGAACAATGCTGAGGAAGAAAGGTGGGAGACAGAGCTTCTGAAGATACCCAAGCTCCTCACATCAGCTCTGGACTGCATGACTCTAGATTTCCAGTGATGGGGTAAGGGTGATTCCAGCCAAAAATACTTGAAAATGGTCATAGGTAAGTGTGTATGTTTGTGTGCATGTATGCATATAACACACGTATATGTATGTATGTGTATATATGTATACATGTGTGTGTGTGTGTGTGTGTGTGTATACATTCACAGCAGTAGTAGAAGAAAAACACGAAAACATAGAGTTTGGCAATAGGGAAATTCCTAGAACTGTACCACGGGAAGCATGAATGGTTAGTAAAGAAGAGATGCCTCTGTTGGTTACCCTTCTTTAAAAACAAAGAATAGCAGTTAAAACCAAAGGCCTCATCATACCATCCAAATAAGCTGTGCATCCTTGTGTAGTCACATGACCAGGCCTGTCACATGACTATTGCTTCCTGAAGTCTTTGTTTCACATTATTGTCAGGATCATCTTAGACTAGAGTTATACTATTTTCCAAGAGGAAATATTTGTGTTCTTAAATTCTTGGTCATATAAAGCCAAAGCTGCTTGTAAGCTCTGCTTAACTGCCTGTTGGAAGCTGTAAATGTCCCTGACAGAGCTGTTTAACCTTTAGATACATTACTGAATCCCAAAGACACTTCAGAACTTAAAGGAGAAAGTGCTCCCGTTTCCACTGGCAAAATGATGACATGAGAAGAGCAGGGAGGGGAAGAACAGGGAGGAGGGAAGAACAGGGAGGAGGGAAGAGCTGTAAGAGGGTGAGGAAGGCCTGAGTTTCCTCCTGGCCACGGTGTGACTCATCCTGGCTGGAGCTGGGCAATTCATTATTTCAGCAGTGCTGAGCTGCCTGGCCTGCAGCATGATTAACAACCCATCCCTGTGCACATTATGAACAGAACAGAGACAAATTCTAGTGCCTCTCAGAAGGCAGGCACAAGGTACAGCTTCCAGCTGGGGCCTAGGGACATCTGGCACACAGTATCTTGCACAAAACAAAAAGGCATTCTTTCTGCACTGGGCTACCCATCATGGTGGAAGAGAGGCATCACTAAAACTGCCACTCTGGACAACGAACTAGCCAGGAGACTGGTGTGCAGGGTTGATCTAAGAATTCAATAAGTTGATATGCTCTATGTGCCTAACATAACACCAAGCACATAGCAGATGTTTTACAGATAAGATCCAGAAGGACTCTCGGGGTCC